GATTTCTAAATTATGATTGATATGCTCAAGAATTTAAGAGAAATGGACAAAATAAATTAAAATATGGAAGATTTAAGTAGCAAGTAAAAATTTATTTTAAAAAACCCATCAAATTGAAATGGCAAAAGAAAGATAACACAGATCTAAAATTCAAACCTCACTTGATGAGTTTAACAAAAAGATTAGACATAACCAGCAGAAGACAGGATTAGTGAATTCAGATAATCAGTAGAAAATATACATGTGTGTCTCTATATTTCCTGTGCATTTAACTAGGGTCATGTGTTTCTAATCAGGTCAAGCAGGTAAACACTAGTATGACTCCTGAACCCCTCTTCACTTCTCTGATAGCTTCAGAACCATGTGGTGCAAATGGCAAACTCACAAAATGGTAGACTCCATCAACCTCAGTCACTAAGTGGTTCTGTCAAGCACAACTCCCCACAACCCCATAGGCCTATGTGAGAAAAGAAACGTGTGAGAGGAATTAAACCTCTTTTGTGTAAGTCACTGAAATTTTATTTGTTTCTGCTTCAGCAGTTACTAAACCTTAACTTAATAAATATACCTGTTTTCATAGAAAGTTAGTGGATGAAAATGATGATTCTGCCTCAATCATTTTTTTCTAAAAAAAAAAAAAATCACACTGCCTCCCAAATTCAGAGCTATAAGCGAAACTAACCAAGGTGCTCATAATATTCAACAACTAACCATCTGAAAATCAAGATTTGTTTTGTTGCCAAACCGGTTTGGCTCAGTGGATAGAGCCTCAGCCTGCGGACTGAAAGGTCCCAGGTTCGATTCCAGTCAAGGGCATGTACCTTGGTTGCAGGCACATCCCCAGTGGGAGGTGTGCAGGAGGCAGCTGGTCGATGTTTCTCTCTCATCGATGTTTCTGACTCTTTATCCCTCTCCCTTCCTCTCTGTAAAAAATCAATAAAATATATTTTAAAAAAAGATTTGTTTTGTTGTTTTGCATATTAAATCACATTTTTGTTGGCTGGAATTAGTAAAAAGCTTTTGCTGGTAAAGGATTTTATAAATTCTATTCCTGTGCTCCAGAGTATTGTAGCAAAGACTTGGTTTGACCCTTGAGTCCAATCATGGCAACATTATTAAAATTACTACCCAACAAATTGGTGTATACATAGAAGCTAAACTCTTCTGATATATCCTATATAATAAAAAGTTAATATGCAAATTAACCATCACTTCAACACACAAGATGGCAGCCCCCATGTGGTCAAAGATGGCTGGCAGGGGAGGGCAGTTAGGGAGGACCGGGCCGGCAGTGGAGGGCAGTTAGGGGTGACCAGGCTGGCAGGGGAGGGCAGTTGTGGGGGACCAGGCCTGCAGAGGAGGGCAGTTTGGGGGCAACCGGGCTGGTAGGGGGTAGTTAGGCATCAATGAGGCTTGCAGGGGAGGGGTTAGGGGGTGATCAAGCTGGCAGGCAGAAGCGGTTAGATCAGGCCTAAATGGGCAGTTGGACATCCCTTGAGGAGTCCCAGATTGGAGAGCGTGCAGGCTGGGCTGAGGGACACACACACACACACACACACACACACACATATACACCCTTGCATGAATTTCATGCACTGGGCCTCTAGTGTGTGTGTGTGTGTGTGTGCGTGTGTGTGTGTGTGTGTAAAATGAGAAATTTACTCATGGTTACTTTTGTCATTAACTACATGTAATAGAAACAAATACACTTTTTTGGAAAAATATTAGCAGGTGTTCTATTTAAAAGTCAAACCTTCCTCTTCACAACATACCAAAGAATGTGACAGCCAATTACATCTTGAGAACATATGTCAGCATGTGTGCCTTAGAAATTCTTCCTGGTTTCATTGCATTTAAAGGCCGTCCATCTAAAATCAGGGTGTCAGATTTGAAATCCAAGGAAAGGTAGCACAGTGAATTGAGATTCACTGAACATAGTTTCTGGAGTCTAATTGCCTTAGTTCAGAGTCTGTCTCTGGCAATAGCTAGTACAACCTCTTAAACTTCTTTATGTCCCATTCTCCTCATGTTCTTCCACTTCTTAGTATGGAGTTAATAGTACTGGTTCACAGGACTGCAAGGATTAAATGTGATAATATATGGCACATGACAAATGCTCAACAGTTAGCTGACAGAAGTAGTAGCTGTACTACAATGCACCCATATATTAAAAAGTCTGTATCTCAGCACCACATAGTAAAGTAAGGTAATTCAAGAAAGAAGCCTTCAGTGTTACAGTAAGTGATAGGAATTAGATACACACAGTGGTAGCTGAAAACAGAAAAGATGATCATATATTAGAAAGTAAGTTGTGCTGGTGATATGGACATAGATTGTTACCTCCCCAAGATAGACTGTTACTCCTCACTGAATGTAAACGTACTTTATAGCTTCCTTACCACCATCAACGTCAAAGGCAATGGCTAAAATTCACAGAGAGCATAAATTGAACAACAAAATCAAAATATTTCAAAATAATTTATAATGAATCAAATATATAAATCAAAATTATTTATTCTTTATTTTCAATATCTATTGAATGTCCAGTTATCAGGAACTCTTCCAAATACCTGAGATTAAAATTGGCAAACCATTTCTTCAAAAAACTAAAAATGGAACTCGCATTTGACCCAGTGATATCACTTCTAGGAATATATCCCAAGAAACTAGAAACCCCAATCAGAAAGGATATATGCACACCTATGTTCATAGCAGCACAATTTACAATAAGATTTAGAAATAGCCTAAGTGCCCATCAGCAGATGAGTGGATTTAAAAACTATGGTACATCTGCAAGAGAGAGAGAGAGAAAATTGGCAAACCAAACAAAATTACTTGCTTACATTAGAAGTCACAAGCCATTGGTTACACAGGCCAGCTATATTCATTGTGGGTAGAAATTCCACAAGGCATGACAACCAGAACATGAGGAATATTGGGAATAAATTTGGAGGCCGGCTATTTTAGTTTGCCCCACTGGACTACATTGATTCACATTCCTCACTTAGACAAAATAGTCACTTCCTCCCAATGGCCTCAAAAATCTCATTGCATTACAGCATCAAAGTCCCAAATCTTACTATCTAAATAAAGTCCATGCGCAAATGAGTCTCCTTGGATCCAGTTCTGAGTTCTCAGTATAAAGACCTGTGAATTAAACAGACAAATTATATTTGTGCACCACACTCCCAACATACAATGTTTAGGATAGATTTGCAGCTGTAATTTTATCAGTTTGCTTCCTGTAGATAAAATGCTTGGGGATCCAAAATTTTTATTCTGTACTGTCTCTGTCCCTTTCATATCAAGCTGACAGTGTTTCTGCCTGTATAATTCTCTTAAAATGTTTTTGGTCCCTTATGATTTATATTTGGATTCATTTCATTAGATAAAAGACATACACATAAGCATCTTCAAGATAACATTTTCTACTTTTGAGTTAAGCTGAGGCTATGAGAGCAAAGCTCTGCTATTTAGCTGAGTTACCACCTTATATCTTTCTGAGGTTTTAACAAAGGATTTTATAATCACATTTATGTCTGTATTTTAAAATCATAATGTCCTGCCTTAAAAAATAAGCATTTCATATCTCTCATAGTTTCTTTGGGTCAAATATTCACGGGTGCCTTAATTGAGTGATCTGGTTAAGTGTCTCATGTGAGGCTGTGGTGAAAATGGGGGCTAGGGCTGCATTTGAAGGCATGGTGAGGGTTGGTAAATCTACTTGCAAGGATCACTCACATGGCTGGCAAGTAGTTTTTGGTGTTGGCAGGAAGTCTCGGTTCATCCCCATGCGCCGCTTTCCACAAGGCTGCTTGAGTGTTTTCATGATATGACAGATGGCTTTCCACAGAGTAAATGATCCAAGAGAGGACAGGAGGCAAGGCAGAAGCTGAAATATTTATGGAAATACAGGCTAAATTATCCTGGAGAGATTCTTAGGAGTCACACAAAGCCACTTCTACACTATGCTGTTTGGCATTCAGGCATCCATGATTCAAAGTGGGTGAGTACTGACTAAGACACAAATACCGGCAGAAGTAGAGCATAGGGGCCACACTGAGAGCTGACCACATACTGCCTTCTAATGAAAGGAAATAGATATTAAATAATAAATATCATAAGTAAAGTGCCTGATATGGTCAAATATGCTAAATGCTATAAATAAGAATAAAGAAAAAAGGATCAGGGGTAGGGGATAGTGAGAGAGCAGTTTGTAGTAATAAATAAGATAGAGTAGGCCTCATTGAAAACATGTATAAAGAACTGAAGAAAGTAATATTATAATACCAATATTATAATAATATACTGCTATATTTTATTTAAAAGTGTATTATATTTTAAATCACAGAATCAATTCAATTTACTAAGAAAACATATTTCTTGTTATGTCTAAGATTGCACTCAAAGCTCATAAAAGCCTTTCCAAGGATTTGTTGCTCATATGCCTTGCATAAGAGGATTACAAGTTAGTAGTAAAAGGATTTACAATAATTCTTAGTGATCTCTACTTATTTGTGGATTCTTAACCATTTTAAGAGTTACTGAGCTATTCCTCTTATTTACAAAAGCATCTAATGCTTTATGCATAAAAATATGTTAGATATATGTAACTAATGAAGTATAATAATAAAGTCAATTTTCTTATAAATTATATATTGCATGTATCCCTCTGAAATTTTTTTCCAACAGCATTGTGTTTTTAAGATTCACTTGTATTGCTGTATATACTTTTTTTACTTAATTTTATCTATGCTCAATATTCCACTAGGTAGATAGAGCACAATTTATTTATACTTTCTATGGCCAATAAATACTTAGTTCCAATCATTTTTGCATTAAAAGTAATGATGCTGAGAAAATTCTTGGAAAGGCTTTTCTAGGGTGGAAGTGAAGTAGGTCAAGACACCACTTAGAGTAATAACAATAACAACTATAAAAATAGATACCATGGGATAAATTTAACAAAGATTTTATAAGCCCTTTCTGTAGACAAGTCTAAAACCTTGTTGAGACAAAATAGGGGGAAAGTAGAGATATGTTCTCTTTTCCTCAACTTTCTTTAATCTATAGATTAATTGCAATTTCAATAAAAATCTTACACAGTTTCAAAGACACTCTGACAGCTGATAATAAAATTAGTATAAATGTTTTAAAACCTAAGAACAGGTAAGACACACTTAACAAAGAAGACTAATAAGTTTTGGGATGTCTCCTATCTAGATGCAGTGAAGTTCAAAGCCATCTAACTTTTATTATGTATAATGATTACTTTTTTCTTTAAGCAGATGTATCCCCCCCTGGGGGAAGAGGGAGAATTTAACATCAAACGCATGTGGACATCTTAGTCTCACTGTGTATCAAAATTATATCAAATAACTATTAAAATAATATTTTAGCATATAAATTAAGTGTCCCTCAATGGGACTAAATAACTACAAAGTAAAGTTATTGAATTATCTATATGAATTTTAATGATGGTTATCAGAGATATTTGTTTAATTTGTAGTAATAATTGACTGATGATATTCTGATAGTGTCCCCATAGACTTTTCAGAATCTGTTCTCTGAGGTGACTGCCAGTTTCAAATTGTGTGGTCTGCAAGATCTAAATATCTTTGATCACATTCCTAAAGAAAGTGGGAGTAAGAACAAAGCCTAAACTTTCTATGAAAGGATGCCAGGCCAAATGGGAGTTCTACCATTTTCCTTGAC